TGAAGCGATTTTGGGAGGGGGAGATTTTGCTCTCTCTCTCTTTTTTTAAATTTTGGGCCTTTATAATTGTATATTGCTGATAAATACAAGCGTATGGGGACTCTCTCTATTAAACCCAGGACTCCGGCGAAATTGCAGGGAATTCATGGTCACGGGACCGGCCTCGGCCAATCGCTCGTCTGGGCCTGGTGAAAAACAGAGAGCATTATTTGCTTTAATTGATTCAAAAACTCCAGAGTACCACGACCTGGACACCATGAGCCCCCATTCCTTACACCAGTGCCTCACACTCTCTCTCAAAGGCTTCCCTTTCTCCGGAAAAGCTAGAGGAACCTCTTCCTCATCCCCTTCAGAGGATGGGAGGTTGCAGGAGCCTGGGAAACAGGAATCTAAGAGAGAAATCTTCGTCTTTTCCAGATATTTTTAATAGAGTAAATTAATGCTTTCTTTATGGTCAGCAACATCCTCTCCTCCACAAAAAAGGAAAGACGAATGAGAATCTTAATGTTGAAGGAAGAGTAGAAAGAGGCTTCCACTCTTTGAAAAAGGTAGTGTTAAGATGCAAATAAAGAAGATAGATTTACAATCCTCAGCACCAGTATCCCCATCGCACCCTTCAAAAGCAACAGTTAAATCTTGGAAAATGGACAGGCATTCCCAGGCTAACAGAAGAGTGAGATAAGATAGTGAGGGGCACTTGGGGGCCTCTGGCCTCCATAGCTGTGTGGCCTGGGTTCCCTTCTCTGCCCAGTGTTTACAGCACTGGCCCTGTCCCTTATGTCCACCTGCCTTCCTCATCTGTGGCATCCACACTTCTCTATGACATCCCCCTTCAAACAGGCAGGGTCTAAGATGCATATGCACCCACTCAAAGGCATGAACAAGATAGCCACTGATTTAACTTAGAGTACTCTCAAAGCTCAGGTCAGTGTATGTGCGTGTGGGTGTCAGGGAGCTTTTCCCCCAGGACAAAGCTCATTTTTGCCATTGTGCTAGTTAAAAAAAAAAAAAAAATCCCTGACAAAAGAATTCCCTGAAGATGGAGGGGGTGGAAGTAATGACCACTGAGATGATATTCCATTTATGGCCCCTGGGGAAAATGTTTTTTAAAATTTATTTTATTTTGAGGGAACCAAGATAGTCTGAACTTTAGAGTGTTGTAATTTTCTAGAGGGAGGGGGCACAAGACTCAGAGCCCCAAGCACTTGGTGGGAAACTAGGCCTCCAAGCGGAAAATGAAAAGTCCATCTGGGGGAAGATTTTTAAATAAGTGGGTCAGAGGGATGGACAGGAGATGAGGCGATCAATCTTAGCCCCCTGACAGCTCCCTCCGATTGCATCAAAGAATTTTGCTCTTTGGGAAATCAGAGGGAACAGCCGAAATTTCACATCCCTTAAAAAGGCCTGGGGGGCGGGGGCAAAAGAGAAAGGTGATTCTGGGAGAGTTGGGAAACAGATGGGAAATGGGGACAGAGAGAAGACGCTAAGTTGGGTGGAAAGTTTGCCTGGAGAACTCCTACAGCTCTGGCCTCCCCTCCCCCCTCCTCACTCTCGGCTGCCCAGCCAGGAGGAGCAGGCTGGTTAGCAGAGAAATGGCAACTCAGCCGGGAGCTGGAACTAGAAACTTTCTGTCAATGTAACATCGCGTGGGTGGTGGTGAGTATTTAAAAAGAAGGGCAGAGAAGTCTCCAGTAGAAGGGTGGGGGTGGAGGATAGTGGGCTGGAGAAAGGAAAGTTGGAGGTGGGGGCTATAGGGACAAGGGGAGGCAGACTCCGGAGGGCTCAGAACAGATAGAGCTGCTCTGACCTGGGCAAACTGGCCAGAGACGGTTGTGTGCAACTCGGCTCCAAAGAAAACAATTTTTGCCATTTGGAGATGTGGATGGGTGTGGGCACGGAAGAGTCCAAATAGTAGCTGTCTGGAAGTTGTGCAGGGAGGCTTAAGAGAGGGTTCTCCCTCTGGCCACCCCCTTGAGCACCTCTGGAAGTTCAGTAACAGCCTCTCCAGCTGGCTGCAGGATCTCGCGCTTCTCTCAGCAACTCTGGCCCAGAGACTGTCCCTGCAGGAAATACAGCTCTCTCTAACCCTCGCTGACAGATTTTACGGCCAGATTAGAGAACAGCGGAAAACTTGGGTGTTAAAAGGGGCCAAGAAAGCCCTCCTTCCCAGAGACATCCCTCCCCCGCCCCCTTGTCGTGCTGTGAATCTTGCAGCACAGATATTTTACCCACGTCTTTGACTGCTTTAGCTGAACGCCTGGAATTTCCCAGAGAGAAGGGTAGGGAACACTAAGCCAAGTCGGCTCTTATTTTTCCTGTTTGCAATTCCAGCTTCAAGCCAAAGCTCTGTTTTTCAAACTCAAGCTAAATTCTCTCTCTTGGCCTGCCTCTCTCCCGCTAGATAAATAAGCAACCCAACCCACCCCCAGAGCCAAACATGGCGCTTCATCTAGTTACATCATTCAGAAAATGTTATTCAGGGAAGAGGAAGAGAAGGAAGGAAGGAAGGAAGGAAGGAAAGAAAGAAAGAAAGAAAGAAAGAAAGAAAGAAAGACCCTTGAGCGTTATTTGATCCCAATCAAACTTTGCACGCTCTTATGCCTTTAAATTATAGCCTGACCCAGTGCTAAATTGCTTGCTGCTTGGATGAGCCGAGTCTAGTTAAAATCCTACTTGGTGGCGGTGGGGGGGTGTAGAATTCAGGTTGCTTTTTTATTGTTATTTATTGTTGCATAAAGACTATAATTACTAACCTTGGACTTCCAGGATGCAACATAAAAATGAAAATCAACCCTTGCTTTAGGTTGAGGGCCTGGAATGATTCTCACTGCCCCCCCCACCCCCACAACTCTACCACCAAATATATGCTCCTAATTAAGCAACGCGGGCGCATCTCTTACAATTAGAATTATGCAACTCTTCAGTAAGCAGCCATCGCTTCTCTTTCAACGAATTAGCTCCATATTTCAGCCGCCCTGTCTCCTGGCTCTTATCGGCTCCAGCGACGCGGCGGTGACATTTCATCTTTGACAGACCCTCTCTATCCTCACTCCAATGTGATAAAACTTTTATGGAACCACGACTAAGAAATGAAGTTTTCCCAGGGATGGTGGAAGAGCTGCTCATTAGCCTGGGGACCACTTTATTTACGCTTGGATCTAACAGCTTCTCCCACCCCCCTCTCCCCTTTCTCTGGCAGGGGAAATCAAACACGTGCCTCCTCTTCCTCTGCCCAGAGTTTTATTTAGTGATTTAATTTCACGTTAGTTTTAAAGTTTGACCTGAGAAATCTAGGCCTCGGATTTTTTTTTTTTTTAGATTAATCATTTTCCTTTGTTTTCATTTTAGACCCAATGGTCGTTGGGCTTCAGGTCACGTGATGAACTTCTTTGTAGCTCCGGAAGAGGACTGTGAAGTTTAGGTTTCGAGAAAGAAACAGTAATCGACCAGATTTTTGTTGGTGGTGGTGGTGGTGGGGTTGCGAGGAGATTGTGGCCAAAAGAGGGAGCAGACAAAAGGTCAATGAATGAGAAAAACGCAAAGGCAAAGAGGCAAAAGAGAAAGACCTACAGAGAGCACTGGAGTCCCCTCTCCCCTCAACTTGTTACTTAAAGCTTAACCAAAGAAGTTGGCAGAATGTTCCAGGATCATATATGTGAGAAAACAGTATTTAAACCTGAGACACATAAAGGGGGAGATAGGAACCTGAGCACTGGACAAAAAGGCCTGGAAAGGGTCTTCCACATCCTAGTCTTTCTTCCCTTGAGGGAAATTGGGCAGTCAGCAGTCTTGCTCTGCTATCTAAATTGGACCACCAGGACAAGATAAAATTGATAACAGAAAGTTTATTCAAGAATTGTTTGACAGACAACCCTTTTAGGTAAGGAAAAAAGTAACTACAGAAGAACAAAGAAAGTTCCAAGAGGGAATTAACTCTAATTCTACAAATTCAGGACTATACAGTGACGATTAGGAGCTGAGTTCATGCCTTTTAGAACTAATTACAATTGCTCATAAGTACGAGTTTAACATAAATCTACAGCTCTTTTCTAGAGTACAATAATAACTAAAATAGCTGGTTTTACATGACAGGAAACACAATGTCCTTTATAACAAGTAAATACTAAAAAAGTACAATTTTTTCCTTTTTTCCCTCATATAAATACATACTGTAGGGGGATAAATAATACAAAAAGAAAATATTTTAACAGGCTATAACCAATAAATATATATGAAAATGTTCACTAGAACACACGCTTTTTGAGCGATGCTGGACTTCTGCAGGCCCAGGCATCTCTCACAGTTGTTTTTATATCCATTAAAATGTAAACTCTAAGTGCAACAAAAGTGTCCTGTCAGGAGGTTGAGCAAGGCACATAAGCCCAGCTGCAGCTCCTGCCTGGGACAGACAGTTTGTTCAAATATACCCTGTTTTCACGTTAAGTCAAGAGAGCAACAGAAGAAAAGAAAAGTGTAGAACCTCGTGTCTCTGACTGCTTTCCTTGGAGAGAGGGGGATGGACCTGGAGCTGAGACAGAGGCAGCAGTATGGGCAAACCTTCAGTCCTGACAACTTGCCTGCCCTAGCCTCCTAACTTTTCCTTAAAAGAAAAAAAAAATATATATATATATATTTTTTTTATGATATAGGCAGCTCCTACTTTCAGGATCTCTCGCCATCCCTGAGCCCTCTAACAACTGTAATCAATGGAGGTGCGGTATAGATATGAATGTCCTAGAGCAGAACAACATGGGACTAGAAATGGAGAAGGGACTCCACTAAACTTCAAATAGATGGGAGGAAATTTGAGGTTTCAGGGAAGTGGGAGGGGAACGTGCTTTGTGCCCTTGGATTTGAAATGTGTTTTCTTATTTTTTAAAGGAGAATTGAGAGGAAAAAAAATTAAGATTTGGGGGAATTACCCGCAGAGATGGAAAGTAAGTTGGTTGGTTGGTTGGTGATGGCCTAGCCATCTTGTCTGTTTTTTAAAATGTGCTTCTCTGCCTTGTTTTTCTACTTCGTCTTCCTCTACCCCACTCCCATTCGTGGAATTCCAACTCGGTAGTGCTGGAGCCCTGGGGTTGATGGGGTCATCTCCAATCTGCTGTGGATTCCTTTCTGATGGGTTGGCAGGCAGATGGAACTAGGGGTGGAGGATTTAAAAGCAACCTCTCAGGCCAGGGGGAGGGGGAGGGGAAGGAGTTCCAGGCCCGTTCTGCCCAGGAAGCCTGGCTACCACCTCCCTGGCCTCTCTTTCAGATCTCCAAGTCTGCCCCCAGAGCTGCACAGCTCTGCTCTTCTTCCTCGCCCCACCCCCACCCCTCGCCCTTGACCTCGCTCCTCCGCCCTCCCTTTCCCATCACAGGTGTGTTAATTTGGGCGCTTCTTGGATTCTACCCTGAGGAGGAGGCGCGTGGTGAGAGGAGAGGTCTGTGTAGGTGGGGTGGGGGTCGCAGGGTCCGTGGTGCTGGCTGGGGGCCATAGGGGGCGCCCCATTGTAGTCCAGGTTCCCCGAAGGATGGTGGGAAAGGTGGTTGAGGCCATAGAGGGAGGGGCCGGCAGGGGGCGGCAGCGGATCCGCGTAGCCGCCCCCGCCCACGTACACCGGGCTGCCCTGCATGGTGGGCGTCCCGTAGGCGCCCCCGTTGGCTTGGAGGACGTGGGGCTCATAATCCGGCGCCGGGGTCGGGGGGTACTTCTGAGGGGCGCCGCAGCCCTTGAGAGGGGGCTGATAGTTGGAGGGCAGCGCGTAGGCATTCTGGTGGGCTTTGCCGAAGGCGGGCGGGGACGGGCTCTCATAGCTAGGCGTCATGGAATGTAAGGCGTTCATGAAGCCGGCCGTGGACTGCATGGGTTGCGGGGGGCTGCCGGCTGGAGAGGGGCCCCCAGACGACGAGGCCAGCCCCTTGGCCTTCTGGTCCTTCTTGTATTTCATGCGCCGGTTCTGGAACCAGATCTTGATCTGCCGCTCGCTGAGGTTCAGCAGGTTGGCCATCTCCACGCGGCGAGGCCGGCACAGGTAGCGGTTGAAGTGGAACTCCTTCTCCAGCTCCACCAGCTGCGCGCTCGTGTACGCCGTCCGCGCCCGCTTGGACGCCGCCGACCCCGGCGGGCTCTTGTCCCCTCCCCCGCCGCCGCTGCTGCCCCCGCTGCCGCCCCCACTGCCGCCGCCGCCTCCTCCGCCGCCGCCACCGCCGCAGCCCTCTGCTGGATCCGAGGGGGAGGGGTGGGAAGGGGAGAAAATGAAATAAAAGATAATTACTGAACACGCCGAAATTGAATGCATCGTTTCTTAATAAATCCAGGCCTGGACTCAGAGCCCCCGCTGCCCTCGCCTTCGCGTCTCCGCCTCCTCCTCACTACCGCCCCCCCACCGCCCGTCGCATTAGCGGACACTCTATAATAGTGGCATTTATTAAGAGACCTGTTCTCCTCTCGCTGCCCCAGCTTATGAAAATTTGATCATGTCACGCAGACAGAGCCGCATGGCCGTTTATTTAGGGCCGGATTTTCACGCGCGCGCTTCCTTCCCCTTATCCCCAATTTCTTGTCTGGGAAGACATTCCCCCTACTCTGCCCCATCAGGGTAGGTGACTGAGGAGAACCCTTGGGGGAATTTGGACACTCGTAGGCAGGATCCCGAAATGTGGAGCTAAGAGGCTGCCGTGCCTGGAGGCCGGGACCCAGGAACACCAGAGCGATTGTGATTAATACCCACAGTAATCATACTTAATAATAATCAATCCTTGACGACTCTGCATCCTCCCAGCAGCGCCTCTTGGCTCTGCGGCCCTGGGAAGGTCTCTGAGGCCCAGCACCCGGCCTTCTGGAGCTCACAGAAGCTCAGGTGGAGGGTGGCTGGAGGGAGGGGGTGTTGGCGGGGTCAGGGGTCATCAGGGGGTGGGGGTACCAAAAATGCGCTGCCACCTCCTAATATTGTTCCCAGGCCGCCTCTTGGGCGCCTAGGGGCTGGGTGCTAGAATAACAGTGACATTCCTGGCCTGGACAAAAGCTGATGAGAGGAAGGCAGAGAGCTGGTACCTGTGCCGGGGGAGCTGTTTTTCAGCTTGGACGTTTGCCTCGACTCTTTCATCCAGGGGAATATCTGTTTGGTGAGGGTGGAGTTGGAGCCGGGACCGCACTTGGGGGGACCGCTTTTGCCGGGCCCGCCCCCATTATTGCTGTTGCTAGTGGTACTGGTAGGTGCGGCGCTGGGCGGGGGTGAGCCGGGCGGGGCGGGCAGGGGCTCCGGGGCCAGGCCGGGCCTCATGCAGCTGCCGTTGAGCTCCTTGCTCTTGGCATGAGGGGCGGCGTTGCCCAGGGACTGCAGTGAGCATGCTGAGCGCTGGTAATCGCCCTCCAGGTGCGTGGCGGCCTGAAAGGGGGGTTGGGGGGGGCCGTCGTAGCCGAAGCCATTGCTGCCAGGGTACGAGGAGTAGCCTCCGAAGAGCGCAGCCGCTGCGTTGTCGTAGTAGGTGGCTTTCTGCATCGCTGGGCGAGGCCCGGGCAGTGGGTGGCAACTTGCAAGGGCCTGATACCCTCAGGATCGGACATTGGCACCCCTGGGGGTCACGTGACAAGCCGGACCCCCCCCCCTCCCCTCTCTGCCCCCCTCCTCCCGGGTACGTTCCAAACGGCTGACCTGCGGGGCGAGAGAAGAGACACAAGGGGGAGAAGAGGACTGGGGCTCGGCTCAAATCCATCTTAGGAACTGAAAAGGGAACTGACATCAATAGGGTTTTTTTTTTCTTCTCTCCTCCCCAGCATCTCCAGAGCAGATGCTGAGGCCAGGTCCCTGACCTGAAATGGATTTTTCTTATTTCAATGCTTTAATTTTCAAGAAAAAAGCCCACCAGTTTTCCTTTCCACTTAAAAAATAAGGAGTGTACTCCTTTGGGGACTGCCTAGGTATAGAATCCTGCTATTGCAAGGGCCATTGCTTCTCTCCAGTCTGTGTACTAGCCTCTGACCTCACCTACTCCCTCTCCTTACCTCCCCCCTCAACTCTGGGATAGAGTGGCTCAAGGGAGGGGACACTAGGAGACGCCAAAATAAAAGCGTCGTCTACACCCCCTTCTGAGCTGAGAGGCTTCTCTGCCTCCTGCCTTTGCCTCCCTCCATGTCTGTTTAGGTCTCTCATCCAAGCAAAGTCTAGCCTGGAGGAAAACCAGAGGATCTCAGAAAAAGACAGGAGGGAGAAACAAGTTCAGCAGGGAATCTTCTCCTGTGAGGTATCCTCTTCCCCCAAAGGACAGCAACAGCCTGATCTACAAACTTCCTGAAGATTTTTAACCTCCAGAGTCAGCTGAACCCAGCCTCATCTGACCATGTCCCTGCTACAGGTACCACCACCTCCAGTCAGAGTCTTTGCCCAGCCAAGCCTGGGACCTGGCAGCCAGGGCCTCCATGGGGCCTCCAAATGGAGCATGATTGTTGCTATTTTCCAGACCAGGCCAGCTGGTGCTGTGACCATTTGGCCTAGGTCTGTCTCCTCACCTGTCTTCCTTTTCCATCAGACAATTTTTACCACCCTTTCCTTGACAGTCTTTTGATTTCTCCAAAAGAAAAGAAGAAAAAATTGCATAACTGCTGGACTTTTCTACCAAAATGGGAAAAGCGCTTTCTAAAAGAGGAAATTATTCCTGAGGGGGGGAAAAAACCAACAAAGCAATTTGAACAATATTACTCTCTGGGTTGGGAATAGAGAGGGTACCCTTGTTGACTGAGGTTCCCCGAGGCAAAAAGTAAAAAATAAAATACAATCACTATTTTAATACAGCCTTTTAAAAGTGTGCCAGAAAAATAAAGAATCAAGCTATCGTATGATTTTGTTTGTTCTAAAACTTCCGACTGCATTTTTTCCCTCTGTCTTCCCCAAGCCCTCACCACCACTTTTCATAAAACCTCCATACTGACCCTCCCTTCTGACGTGTGTTTGGAAAACTTAAATCTCATTCAGCCCAGCTGGTCAACTGCAAAGAAGACTAAAAATAGGAAAATAAAAGGAGTGCAGGTGAAGGAAGTCCCTCCCACACATAAATCCCCCCCCTTTTTTTTTAAATCCCCTTCTTAATGGCACAGATTTATACTCAAAAGGGAGCCAGTGTAGCCCTGAGTTCCGATTGGTTTCTGGAAATACACATGGGTCTGCAAAGCAGCAGGTCCTTCTAGGGAGAACCGGAGTTCAATTGACCAGGCTGACCCAATCCCTTTATTATTATTACCATTAGCCTCTGATGATTTAACCAAAATTAGCTTCGAAGCAGCCCTGGCTGAAGGGGGAATTAATTAACAGGCATCAGTTGAGTTTGTTATTAATAGATAGAGAAGAGAATGAAATAAAAACGTTGGCGGGGGTTGGCTGGCTGGGCCCTAGCTTTATTTAGTCTAAATGATTGTTACAGCAATAATAATGATGATGATGATGGTGATGATAGTAATAATAATAAAACAATAATTTGACTAGACGCCTGGGGCCGAAATTCCTGTCGCTCCCCCTGCAATAAACCCCAAACCGTCGCAGGACCGAGGCCAGGCGAGTGTGGGAAGCGAAGGAGCCAGAGACTCAAGAGGAAAGAATGGAGACTCCGCCGGCGGTGAGACAGGGCCAGGAAGGTTTGTGCACCCGGGTAGCCCCGGGCTGCCGCCGCCCGGCTGTCTCGGCGGCCGCTGCTGCCGCTGTGGCTGGCGATGAACTACCAGCCTACTACGCTGGCCCAAAGAGGAGAAGAGAAAGCGATCAGGACACCAAAACAGTTATCAGCGGCAGGTTCCAAGCACACCGCGCCCAGCGAGGGCCGAGCCCCGCGGGCAGCAGCAAGTTTGGGCGCTGGAGGTAACCGAATTAAAAGGCGCCTTAGCAACTCCGCTTCGGGACTTTGCTCCGCAGGGCTCCGGGCTGGAGGGCGCCGAGGCCTGACTGACGGGACAGTGGGAAGAGGGAAAGGTGCCGAGGGCATCCAAGATCTGGGATCCAGGACAAGAGGGGGTGGGGAACAGCTCTACCAAGCCAAACATATCTATTTCCCTTGCCCTCCATGTTGGAAAAATTCAGGCTCCATATGGCTCCTCCGGAGGGAGGGCGGGAGGGAGACCGTGGCTCCCGGCTTCCCCCAAGGGTCTCGCTGGAGAAGGGAGGTGAGCCCCCAAGAGCCCCACCTTTCCAGGCACACCCCAGGGAAAGTAAGAGAGGGTAACAATAGCTGGGAAGCCCCTGGAGCGGGGATAGGCCACCTTCCAGGACTTAAATTAATGGAAGGAAGAAAAATAGAAGAACAAGAAAGGAAGAGAGAGAATGGTTAGTCTCTTCTTAGCAGCCGGGGAAAATTCAGCCCTGGATCTGGCTGCTGAAAGAAAAGAGGAGAAAAAGAGAGAAGCAAGAGAGGGGAAGAGAGAGAGAGAGAGAGGGAGGGAGGGAGAGAGGGAGAGAGAGGGGGAGAGAGAGAGAGAGAGTCGCTGCGTGGAAGGAAGCTTAAAGCTTGTGAACTCTTCTTGAACCGAGATTGGAGTCATATGGGCCATAAATCATTGAGACATACTCTCCGCCATTCACAAACTGATAGCCTATTTCAGTCCAGCTTACCTTAGCCACCGACGAGGGGAGAACAGGCAGACATAATATATATTCACATCGAGCCCCAGCGCGAGCGGCAGGCGAGAAATCTCCCCTCCTTGAAGGCAAAGGAAAAAAAGACCACTGTTTAAAGCTGCGTCGCCCCCCCACCAAAGCCACCCCGGCTGGGGAGCCCGAGGGGCAGACCGGCCAGAGGAGCCGCGCGGCGTCCGCTTCAATTCACTCGGCTTAGGAGCGGGGGTGCGCAGGAGGGAGGGGGTGGGGGAGCTGGGGAAAAAAATAGAAGACCGAAAGGTGCCGGGGCGGCTCAGCTCGCCGAGAATCCAGCTCCGGGCTCCAGCGCAGCCAAGCCGCCACAGTGTGCTTGCCCTATAAGACTGGTACGCCCTACTCTCCGTAACAATGGCCTCTGCTTTTGCACAGGGAAAAAAAAAACCACACAGACACACACACACTCACTCACACACACACAAGCTCACACACATCCCCACCTCTCCCCCTTTAGCAAGCTTAGATGCCTGATAAGGAGGGAAGGTGGTGGTGGTGATGGCGGAGGAGGATTTTAAAATACACCCCCCCCAAGAGTGAAAAGGAAAGAAGGTGGAGAGTGTTTTTTTTTTTAAAGAACAGGTAAATTTTTAAATTGATATTGGGGGGACGGGGAGGAAGAGGAGAGCGGAGGCAAGGAAGTCCAGTGAAGTTCACAGCTCCCCCCACACCCCACTGGTGAACCATTATGCTAATTTGAGAAGTGGCATTAGGAGGCCGAGTCAAAGGCAGGCCTCCCCTAGGAGTGGGGGTGCTGAGTGCCCCTCTGAGCTCATTCGCGGTTGGAACACTAGGACTTTTTTTTTAAGTAGTTTCACTCCTCCGGGACTGGTGGCCTGGTCTCCCGCCTCTCGCCTCTCGCCTCTCGCCTCTCGCTGTCTCCCTCCTCCGGAGTCTCCAGCCTCTGCTGCGTCTCTCCTCCACACCCTCTCCTCTATTCCTTCTCTCTCCCGCTAATCTCCAGGCCCAGTCTCTAACCAAGGGACAGGGAAGGCCAGATCTTTTTTTTTTTTTTTTTTTTTTAGAACAGACAACAAGCGGTGAGTGATGATTTTAAAAACCCAGAACATCTTGCAGGGGGAGGAGGGTTGGGAAAAGGGTGACAAAAGGAGGACCCTGTGTTTAGCTTGAGCTCCAGACTGGCTGGCAGTAGAAGGGTTTTAAGAACTTTATGGAGAAGTTTCTGTTAAGATTCTCACCTCCGCATAGGCATGAAGGGACTAAGAGGTGATAAGGACATTTGTGCTTCTAAGAAGATGAGAGAACTAGCAGAATGGCTTAATTTTAAATGCACTGGCAGAAGAGAATGAGGATAGTTATTATTATTATTATTATTCAGAACAAACCTGTTTGTTTCTTTCTGCTCTGCAAGATTTATGACTCTTGGCACAAGTGAAGAAGGCCACAAAAGCTAAAGTATTCTTAGGGTGTATTTGAGCAGGGCAGGAAAAGGCAAGGAGGAGGCCTGTAGGAGGAAGAAAGGAGCCAAGAATGTAGGTGTCTGCAGATTTGGGATGGGGGTAGGGAAAAGCCACTGGATGGGAGGAAAAAGACAAAAAGAGCACCAGGAAATTTCTTCCGAAAGCAAGAAGTGTTTGCAACTCTGCCTAACTGCTGACTCGGAGCTTAGGAGATAAAATAGAAGGCAGAAAGTCTCTCTTTTCTACAAAGGCAGCTTGGAAAACTAATTCTCTTAACTTCATGTAGACAGAGCCAGCCACTACCCTGTGATTTCCTCGTTAGAATATTTGGCTTTTGCCTCCTCCCATCTGGATGCACCAGGAGAGGTGATGGGACTGGGGAAAACAAAGGTGAGAGATGGTTTCCAGCTATTGTCTCCCCTGCAGAAGAGGATGACTGTGTCTGGCAAAGCTCCCCTCACACACTCTCACTCCCCACTCAGAGGCTCTGCTTTGGGATGAAAAAGGGACTGGTCCCTGGCCTCTGGCCCCCATTTCTTCCAGGCCAGCTAAACGAGGCCAGGTGAGTTGGAGCAGCTGGTTTCCTGGGACCCTCCTAAACAGGGGGAGCCTGTGGCCTTCCTACCCTTCAGCAACAGGAGCCACATGTGTAGCCTCAGGATGAGATGTTCTGAGCATCCTATCTCCTGCCTAAAGAGTTGGTCACCGGGGCAAGTGGGGAGAAAAAGTGAGGATGGAAGGTGTGAGCCATTTTTCTGTCTTTATTAATAGTATCAAGAAAAGAAAAATGTCCAGGCCAGACCCAATGTTGGGGCTGAAACCAGGACCCTCAAAGAGACCCTTAGGGCCATTGAGTATTTGGCTGCAAGAAGTCTGTCCTGAGATCTCTAGACAACCCTGACTGGAGACCTACAGGGTTAGACCCCATGTAATTTTGGGCCTAGTGGGTCAGGGACTTGGGCCACGGAGGTTTCCAGAGGCTTAAGGGAACCAGCACCGTTGGGTTTTTTCCTCTCACTCCTCAAAATAAAAACGTCAAGACTGCACACTTCAGACCCTCCGGCTCTCCTAGCTGCTACTGTCACTGGCTAGAGAAGGTCATCGTGAAACTGAGAGAAAAGGAGAACCTGATCGCTTGTGGGACTGCGCAGCTTTGCCTCAAGGAATAAAAAGAGAGCCCGGAGGAAACCCAGCCAGCTGTGGGGCCTGCAAGAAGAGATGGGGATTCGGAGAAGCGGAGAAGTGAAGCAGGCCTGGAACTAAGCTGGGGGTAGAGGAGTGTTCCAGAGACAGCAACAAGCCCTTCTCTTCCCAAGCCTCCTCAATCCTTTGTGGTCCCTCTGGCTACACAAGGTGGTGGAGTGTAGTGGGGTGGGAGTGAAAAGTAGGACTGGGGAGCAAGGAAACGAATCTGGAGAAAAGTTCAGAGGACATGCACCCACAAATGTGGTAGGAGATGGAGTGGGGGCTTCTAATTCTGGATAACAGAGCCCATTTGTAATGTTTGGTAGGCAATTAGATCCCAGTTTGGTTTCTTTTTTGCCTTTTTTCTTCCTTTCTCAGAGGGTTCTGGCCAGCAGGCCAGTTGCCCCAGATTGGGGCTGGGAGGGTGGAGAGCAGATGGTCAAATAGGCGCCCCCAAGGCATCCCATTTCGTTTAAGGTGTTGCTGCAGGTTAGGGGCTTTTCAAACTCGAGGGGACAAAGATGGGGTAGTGAGGAGCTTGGGCAGGGAACTTGCAATGGGGGACACCAGAGGGGTCTGAGGGAAGATTTTGGGGTCTGGGAAAAGATGAGAGGTTAGAGAAGGGTTTATAATCCCCGACAGTGAAGACACGACTAAGGGACAGACTGGGGAGAGAGTAGAGGGAACAATTTCTTCCTGGATTCAGGGAGGGGAACTTGGGCAACTCTGTGTGTGTATGAGTGTGTATGTGTGTGTGTGTGTGTGTGTGAGAGAGAGAGAGAGAGAGAGAGAGAGAGAGAGAGAGAAGGGGAGAGAGAAATCGAAAAAGAAAAAAACTGAGAGAAAAATTAAGAGACACTAGCGTAAAGTAATAAAGGCAAAAATAATAGTAAAAGTAAAGATACAGGAAATGTCCCTTTTTATAGACATCCTTTCCTCTTCAGTTTCCACAAAGCCAGAACACTCTCTCTGTCACTCCCCCTCCCACTCCCACTGGGCACCCAGTACCAGGGGACAAGGAACACTTTAAACCCCCCTGAGCAATCACTGGCCACCAGCCTTCTGGTCCTTGGTGGTGGAAGCATGCCTGTTTCTCTCCCCCAAAAATCCATCAACAGGCAAACGAAAATTCTCTCAATAAGGGCAAACTGGCTGGCTCCTTTAAAACTGATTTCTGATCTCAGCCTTGGGGCAGCCAAGGATCCCACCCCCAGCTCAAACAACACAAAATTTGCCTGGTCTGCCTGGCCCGCTGGTCGCTGGGGAGCTGGGACCCAAGAGCCTGGGGATCTGAGAGTAAGGTATTTAGCGATGGGTCTTTCTGACCCTGTCGGGGATTCCTGGTCCTACACTTTTCCAGCTTCAATGCCCAACTTTGTGGCTGCAGCAGAGTGGTGTAAAGTTCACACACATTCATCTCCTCATTAGTATTAATAAAGATTTCAAAGCTGGAGGTTGTAAAGGGGACTTGCTAAGGAACAAGGAAGGCTCTTGGCATTTGGATCCCCAATCCCCAACTCTCTAATAGGCCAGAGCAGGAGGGAACAAAGGGGCACTGGGCAGGAGCAGATCTCTGCACCTTCGCAGAAGCCCGGTGTAGCCCCTGTTCAGCAGTATTGGGATCCAAAGAAGAAAAAGGCCGCTAGGGCGGGAGAAGAAATATCCAAACTGTACTTTCCCCACCCCAGGCGTAGGGATGCTGCCCTCTTCCTGGCTAAGCACGAGATGGGGAGGCAGGAACAAACAGGGCAGCCACGAGAGTCTGCAAAGTCTACTGTGACCACGGAGGCAGCCTGAACACCGTAATGAGGAGAAGACAGTGCGGTGAGAGAAGTTGGGAGCCACGAGCAAGGTGGGCTCCTTGGTGGTGATACCTCCCATTCTGAATCAGGGCTCCTGCCTCATTTAGAAGCAGTCTTGGACTGACAAACCCCACCCCCAGTGAATGTTGAGACAAAGGTGGGCAGAGTGGAGAAGGCAGAGGGAGAGAGACTGCGAATCTGGACAGCTTGAGGGGTAGGAGTGCTGAGGAAGGGAAGGAGCAGCAGGCGAGAGAGGAGCAGGGGCTCAGTCCTCTGTGAGTGGCTGCACAGATCTCTCCTGACAGATTGGATGTCTCTCTCCCAGTGACCTCTGTTTAGCAGACAATAACTCACTGGATTAATGACCAATCAGTGGAAGGCCTTCCAAATTGCCTCCAAATATAAAACTCCAAAGTCAGAATGGGATACGGCCAGAGTCTGCGCCTGCCAGGTCTTTTGTGTTTTTTCTCTCCCAAAATAGTGTTTGGGGCTAGACTTTAGGGAGTAGATTATCTGGCCATAGACTGAGGTTTCCAAAGCCCCAAAGATGAAGTTATTTCCCATCTCTTCTCACTTTACTCTTCTCCTAGAATTTATACCTCAAACCACACTTCCCAAGGAAGCCTGGAAACCTCCCCTCC